GGTATTTTTGTAATTATAATTTATTCTAGGGTTATAATAGTCTTTTTCATTATAATTTTTTAATTTTTCAACCCAAAACGACGTCGATTTGGTTGCGAATGTAGATATTTTTCTACATTTATTGTAGAAATATTGAAGCCAATAAAAATATAATGTAAAACAAATGAGAGTAGTTTACTCCTTCTTTTAACAAATAAAAAACTAATTACCAATTCACTTAAAACAACAATTTGTACAAATTAAAAACAAAATTGAAATCTTTAGATATGAAGAATCCTCCAACAAATTAAGTTGATAAAGAATAATTAAAGTAGAGCAAGCAGAAGTGAGGGGTGAAAGAACACATGCAAACACATCAAAACCTAATTTATTTTTTTCAAAAAAAAAAAATTCAATAAAATCAATATTCATAAGAAAAGGGTCATGCCCACTTCTGTAAATCTCTTCCGCTTAATTCACATAAACAAGATGGAGTGATGGAAAAGAGTTTAGGTATACCCAAAGATCTTATACAGGAGAAACGATAGGCGCTGGAAGAGGAAAGCTGGTGCCTTTGGCTTCACTCTCTCTTAATTTATCTCGCTCTCAGTGTTTCTCTAGTGTATATCCATCAACAATGAAGCATAAGACTTCTTCAATTTTAGACTCAATTGAGATGGATGTGAAGGCCAACTTGATTTTGAATTGGATACTAAAAACGTTTTTAAAAAATTATAGAAATTTTATTTCCTAAGCTGGTCTGTCTTATATGGCAGGTAGCCCTTAATGGTTAGAAACGCTTGCGGGTAGTAAGGTACGGTGTTAATGACCGCTGTTGACAAATTTTTCCAAACGCTGTTGAAGTGCCCTTATACTGCAATTTCCCCGTGTCACCTCTTCGTCCATGGCTCCATTTCAAAATCCTTAATCTTCTTTTCTCTCATAAATTCTTATTCATAAATTTTTGTAGCTCTCCATCCATTTAAAAAAACACATATATGGGCAAGGGAAAAAAAAAGAATATCTTCACATCTTTTTTTTTCTGCTTTTGTTACATAAATTTAAAAAATATTGTTTTTCCTCTATTTTCTCAATTTCGAATTGGAGATTATGCGTGCATGTATTATAGAAATGATTTCTTCTTTATTTCTTTATAATAGACAAACCAGCATTCATCTTGTTTAACGTTAAAGTTTTTTTTGTCTATTTTATGAATTGTTGAATTGAGAGTAATTTATAACTATATATTAAGGATAGTAGATAATTGTAATATTAAAGTTGTACTTTTTTTACTCTCTTCAGAGACTGTTTGTGCTAACGTGGAAAGTGAAAAAGTACAACTTTAATAATATAACTAGAGGGACATTACTCTTACAACCTAAAAGTTTTACAACCTCTTACAACTTATTTTTCACCGCTGATTTTCCTGAATCAAACGGTTATAATTTATTAAAAATTAATACTTAATTAATAAATATGACTCAATAAATCATAATCGTTGGATAAACAGAAATCAAAAGTGAAAAAATAAGTTGTAAGAGGTAGTGAGTGAAAAGAGATTGTAAGAATAACACTCTTTTTATAACTATTTACTACCCTTGATATATAGTTATAAATTACTAAAATGACATAAGTTACATCATTTAAAATGACAAACTTTTAACCTAAAAAGATATGCTTTTTATTCTATTTCTTTATAAGAGTCAGTTTTGGAAGGTTATGTATATACATCGTCAATTTAGCAAGATGTTCATTGAGCTTGCCAGTAAACATTAATTTGTGCAATAACTGCAAAGAGATAGGATTGATTCTTTTTTTAATGATATAAAGGAGGGAAAGTCTCTCCCTACTAAATTGATCAATGTTACTCGAAAATCGGTGAACTAAATATGTAAATTGGTCCAATTTTTATATTAGATCGGTTATATTATAGAATCGGTGTGATCCAGTACGTGACCGCTTGATTCATTAAAAAAATAGTTTGTTTTCATTGGTTGATACTTTTCTTTTTTTACTTTCACACAAGGGCGGACTTACATGGGACTAGGGGTGCCCCCACCTCCTAAAATTTGAGAAAAAAATAACTGTATATAAAAATAGATAAAAGTAAATATTATGTGAAAGGAAAAATTCTTAAGTCGTGTCATAGAGATAACCAACTGTGAGGTCCACTATTTTTAAAATAAAAGAAAAGTAAAAGAATAAATGTGACCACTTTTATGTTTGTGTAGTAAAATTGCTTGTATTATGTAAAAGGAGAAATATATTACTCATAAAAATAACAGTTTGAATAAGTTAAGATTTAAAGCATGGAGGGAGATATTCTAACTACCAAAAATATTCACTACCAACTCACTACCTCCACAATTACCATTGGATCAAAAAGATAGAATGTTGAAAAGTTTTTGAAGAGAGAGAAAATATTGATCCAATAGTGATTATGGAGATAGTAGGTTGGTAGTAAATTTTTTTAGTAATAAGATTATCTTCACTCTTAAAGCATAGATAAAACAGACAAAAGAAGACATGCAGCAGGTAGGAAGAGACATGGAGCTTCTAGAAGCACGAATAAAGAGACTTGAAGCAGGAAGAGGTATCCCAAAGCTATGTTTGGGGGATCCCAAAGCTACGAAGCAAAAATTGTAGCTATTCGAGTTTGAAGTTACATATATGTTGCTTGGGTTTTATATCTATCATTTAACATGATCACAACAACTTTTTTACACACATAATATTTTGTGGAACTCGTAATTTTTAAAATAAAAAAAAAAAACTCGGGCACGCAAAACGAATCTCTATAACATAGCACAATCATTTTTCTCACAACATAACTTTTATAAAATTCATGTTGTTTTGTGTGTCCAGTTAATGCTTATTTATGTAATTTTCTTCAAAGTTTTCTAAATCAGCCCTGTAAACTACATTGATCTGATTATTTTTGCATGCCTACTATTTTTTGTTTTACCAAGTCAATTTATTGTCTTCGGTTTAAATATGGAGTCCGCTAACTTTATGTTAATTCTAGACTTTCCTTTAAGTTATCTTAAGATGATTGAAATATAGATAATTCAAATAAATTAAATATTAGAATTTTTTTTCTTTTGGTAGATACTTTGGATGTATCCCCACAGAACCTCCCCACATTTTTCCTTTTGGTACATTGGATTACTGTTACCGGAGACAAAAAAATATAATACATTTTACGAAAACTTTACAAAAATTATAGCAAAATTTTTTTATGTCTAAAATAATTCTGTAATTTTATTAGATTATTCCTATACGGCATTTTTGCATACATAGCGTAATCATTACAATCAAAATTGACATTACCTTTTCATAATAGTCATACAAATTTTCGCCACCGTCGTTTAACTTTTTAGGTTCGCCACTGCTCTCACACACAATTGGTTTGTTTGTTTTTTAATATTTGAGTGATCTATAGCTTATTTACTTGCATAGATTATGTACCTACAACACTAATATTATCTTGGTTATGTAATATGCATGAAATTTTTATTTGATTTATAGTTAGAGATGTTATCTACTGAACTTGAAACACCAGTATCACAAATATTATATGTTTGATTGATCTTTTGTTGGATAATGATATATGATTTATTATTTTTCATACTAAAATATTTAAATTTTGTATCATTTTTTTACAGGTATTTAAGTATATTTATATTTTTAATATAAATTATAGATTTGCAAATACTTTCCGGGTCATGTTATTGAATCAGTGACCCAATACCTCAGCGGGTCAATAAATGGACCGGGTTTAATAACAATGAAATTGATAATAAAAACAATTTTCCGGGAAAAAACAATAATTAAGAGAAAAAATGGTATTTTTTTAGTAAGGAAACCAATTTTTTTCTTAGTTAGTTAGTCAATCATTTGGAAGTATAAAAGATAAAATTGAATTCATTTATATTTTCAAGAATAAATATTAGATCAATGTATAATAAGCCGACAATAAGTAAGAGTTAGATCGATAACTTATTCATTTTACATTTTGAAAAGGTTTTGAAATACATGGTGGAATGGTTATCGCTCCCTCTTTCCAATTGACGCGTTTAGTATAGCAAATTCAATTTATTGCATTCAGATGAAGTTTTTACAAGTTTATTTAATAAGATTAACTATTAATTTTATTTCAAAACATGAAATAAAAGCAAATAAAATTGGATTTAATTTTAATTTTTATCACAAATAATTTTGTTTAAATCATGCACATGTTTGAGCACGCATGCATTAGTACGTGCGTTAATGTGTGTAATATTTCTAATAAAGGGTTTGATATTTGTCATTTAAAATGATATAAGTTATGTCATTTTAAGAGAGAGATAGACACAAGTAATGAAAATCATGGAGGAGAAAGTAGGTGATTTTTTAATTCAAATTTTAAATAAAAAATATTTGTATCTATCTCTCTATTAAAACGACATAACTTTATGTCATTTAAAATGACAAATATTTTTCCCTTGTAATAAATATAAATATTAAATTTAACTAAAAATATTAAAAATGTTTAACAACAATGTGGTCAATGAATGCCTTTAGTAACAAATTTTTTTTAAATACGTATAAAAAAATTTATTTAAATATTTAAGTCACCATAGTTTCCATCAATATAATCTAACTTAACACATATTAGTTGTTTTTTTGGTTCTAGATTTGTGATGCGATTTAATTATCTCGACCCCACTCCGGATTCATGATCAGCACAAAGTATTGGAGGATGAAGAGAGAACTGCCACGTCAGCTGCAGTTAGTTAGAAACATGCAGTCAGTTAAGAATACTGTTATTTCTGCCATGTCAGCTGTATTCTGTTAAGTTGTATTCAATATTGTTATTTCTTGTCTTTTACACTTTTAGCTTCCATGTATAAATACTGTGATGTAGTTCTTTGAATGCAAAAAAAATAATATGAGACTTTTCATTTCCATTATGGTATCAGAGCTCTAAATTGGAGCTCTGGTATAGCAAGAGAGAAAACACGGGAGTTTTTTTTTTTACCATGGATAATCAGAATCCTGATACGGCACATACAGAGGAGGAAATCCCTGAAGTTCATCAACTTTCCAGATCACACTCTTCTGGATCTCATCAAAATCAACTACCTGATTTTCTTACCAATCCTTCTAATCCGTTTTTCTTACATCCGAATGAATCACCATCAGTAGTGTTGGTTTCGCCATTGTTGAATGCCAGTAACTATCACACATGGGCCAGAGCAATGACAGTAGCTCTCCTCTCCAAAAACAAGATTGGATTCATCAACGGATCCATCATTCCACCGCTAGAAACAGATCCGAATTATTTTGCTTGGCAAAGATGCAACAACATGGTAGTAGCTTGGATCCATAAGTCAACATCACAATCTATCGTGCAATCGATCATTTGGATAGAAGATGCTCAAGATGTATGGTTGGATCTGTGGAGAAGGTTCTCAAGATCAGATGTATTTCGCATCTCTGATCTTCAAGAGGAGATTTATAGAATACAGCAAGGAGACAAGAATGTTACTGAGTTTTTTACAGAATTGAAAACTCTGTGTGATGAACTTGATAACCTTAAACCAATACCAGTATGTAAATGCAGCACACGTTGCTTTTGTGGAGGATATGCGAAGATGAGAGAATATAGAGAACGTGACCACATGATTCGGTTTCTAAAAGGTTTGAACGACCAGTACTCACAGGTAAGATCTCAAATCATGTTGATTGATCCATTACCTGATGTTACTCGAGCTTTTGCAATGATAGTTCAACAAGAGCGTCAGTTTCAAGGAGAATTTCGATCAGCAAATCCTGTTAATGCTCAAGCCTTTGCTGTTATTGATGATCGTAACATGAATAAAAGAGTTTTTAATGGTCGTGGTTCATTTCCTAGTTTTAGAGGAAGAGGTAGAGGTCCAAATGGCAATTACAGTGGACGAAATTCATCATCTAATATGTATGGTGGCAGAGGCATTACCACCAGACTGTGTACACATTGTGGGAGATCGAATCATACAATAGACACATGCTTTCATGTCCATGGATTTCCACCAGGATTCAAAACCAGGAATGATGTTAATTCCAGCACAAATAATATAACTCAGGACACACGAATTGAGTAATCTGGTATTTCATTTTCTAATGATCAGTATCAACAACTTCTGAGTCTTTTGGAAAGAAACACAACCATTCCAAGTTCAATGCCACATGCCACGAATTTCACACAAGTGTCAAACGTGAATACCAGCCTTATGCAGCAACCAGGTATTTCGAATGAGAAGTGGATACTGGATACTGGTGCTACTGATCATGTCACATATATACAGTCTCATTTGTTACAGTTACAGAAAATTAAGCCTATTCGAATTAATTTGCCTAATGGTGATTGTGCTGTGGCAACACATTGTGGAAACATTTCCTTATCTGCTAAACTCATTTTATATGATGTCCTTTATGTGCCTTGTTTCCGAGTGAACTTAATATCAGTCACAAAACTCCTAAACACTATTCCTTGTACCTTACAATTTTGTGGTTCTATGTGTCACATTCAGGAAGCACACTCCCAGGTGAGGATTGGTATAGCTGAGCAAAGGGATGGGTTGTATGTGATCAGTGGCAAGACTGCTTCAACTGCTTGCAAGACAGATTCAACAAATGGTTATAGTGCTATGAGTAGTTATACTTTGAATAAGGGTGCTTCTGTTTTATGGCACCAAAGACTAGGACATATACCAGATTCTGTAATGAGAGAGATGTCATTAAAATTTCCTTTTATCCCACTTGTAAGTGCCAACCCATGTGATGCCTGTCATTTTGCCAAACAAAGGCAGTTGCCATTTTGTGACAGTAAAACTCAATCCTCAAGAATTTTCCATTTGATTCATGTTGATATTTGGGGTCCATATTCAATTGCATCCATTGAGGGTCATAGATATTTCCTTACAATTGTTGATGATATGTCAAGATACACTTGGATTATCCTAATGAAGTCTAAGAGTGAGACTAGAACACATTTACAACATTTTATTGCCTATGTTGAAAATCAGTTTCAGACTCACATAGGCACAGTTCGAAGTGATAATGGTAGTGAGTTTCTAATGTCTGAGTTTTATTTACAAAAGGGAATAATACATCAACGTAGTTGTGTAGAATGCCCTCAACAGAATGGAAGAGTGGAAAGAAAACATCAACATATACTTAATGTAGCACGTGCTCTATTATTTCAGTCCAAGGTCCCAATTCAATTGTGGAATTTTGCAATTACTCACTCTGTCCACTTGATAAACCGAACATGTACACCTCTCCTCAACCATAAAACACCCTATGAAATATTGTATAACACACCTCCTACTCTAATTCATCTCAAAGTGTTTGGTTGTTTGGCTTATGCATCCACCTTACAAAACCATCGACTAAAGTTCTCACCTCGAGCCAGAAAGACAGTATATCTTGGACATAGAACTAGAATGAAAGGTAGTTTGTTATATGATGTTATTTCTGGTGAGATATTTGTGTCAAGGAATGTGCTATTTTATGAGACTGATTTTCCTTTTCTCGAAACCAATTTTACAAGCACTAACTCTGATATATCATCCAATATACAAACACCTGAGTTTGATGATTATCTTCCACATATACAAACCATCCACCAAATGCCATCCAATCCAAATATAGCTCAAAATCACATACCATCTGAACCAAACCCAACTCAGAACCACATATCTGAACCTATCCTTGCCTCACAACCTGAACCTATTCCAATACCTTTACCTCATGACACATCAGTGCCACCACCTCGTCGATCTACAAGGACCAAAGCACCTCCAAAGTATCTTGATCAATATTATTACAACCCATCCAGCTCTCAGCATATCAGTACTTGCCCAGGTATGTCTTCTACTGATCTTCCTAAATACTCCATGTCCAATTACCTGTCATATACACATTGCTCACCATCATATACACATTTCTGTCATACTGTTTCATCACACATTGAACCAACCACATATAATCAAGCTGTCAAATCTGAGGATTGGTGTAAAGCCATGCAGTCTGAAATTCATGCTTTGGATCAAAATAATACTTGGAAATTAGTTGATCTTCCTCCGGGAAAACAACCTATTGGCTGCAAGTGGGTTTATAAGATTAAATACAAGTCAGACGGCTCTATTGAACGATACAAAGCACGACTCGTAGCAAAGGGCTTTACTCAAGTAGAAGGTGTGGACTTCTTTGATACATTCAGTCCTGTAGCTAAACTGGATTCTATACGGATTCTTCTTGCTGTTGCAGCTTCAAAAGGGTGGTTCTTACATCAATTAGATGTCAACAACGCGTTTCTACATGGTGACCTTCATGAAGAAGTATACATGGTACCTCCACCTGGTCTTCTCCCTGATAAACCTGGTCAAGTATGCAGGTTGCAAAAATCTCTATATGGATTGCGCCAAGCTAGCAGGCAATGGCATGAAAAGTTGTCTGGTTTTCTCTTTTCACTTGGATATCAGCAAACTCAAGCTGATCATTCGGTTTTTATTTTGCAGCAACAAGATTCATTCACTGTTTTATTAATATACGTGGATGACATTGTTCTTTGTGGCAATGATATGAATGAAATTGTTAGAGTTAAACAGCTCCTTGATGGTAAATTCAAAATTAAAGACCTTGGTCAGCTTCGATACTTTCTCGGATTTGAGGTCTCTCATTCCTCTCGTGGCATCATCCTTAATCAAAGGAAATATACCCTTGAGCTTCTGTCGGATTCTGGTCTTACTGCTGGGAAACCAGTCTCTACTCCTATGGATGCTACCATCAAACTTTCACGCGACACAGGGGTTATTTTGTCTGATCCTTCTCCTTATCGTAGATTGATTGGAAGACTCTTATACTTGACCAATACAAGACCGGACATATGCTTTGCTGTGCATCAGTTAAGCCAGTATGTATCTCAACCAACTGATCTTCATTTGGCTGCTGCCAAACGTATCTTGCGTTATCTGAAAGGTTCCCCTGGATATGGTTTATATTTTCCAGCAACTAATGACCTTAAAGTTCAGGCTTTTGCTGATTCAAATTGGGCTAATTGCCCTGATACTCGGAAATCAACTTCAGGATTCTGCATTTTCTTGGGGTCTGCTCTTGTTTGCTGGCACTCCAAGAAACAGACCACAGTGAGCAGATCTTCTTCCGAAGCTGAATACAGAGCTCTTGCATCTCTCTCTTGCGAGCTCCAATGGCTACAATTTCTATTTCAGGATCTTCATTTACCTTGGTCGCGCCCTGCTTCCGTCTACTGTGATAGTCAATCAGCTGTTTATCTAGCTCATAATCCTACTTTCCATCAACGATCTAAACACATTGAAATTGATTGCCATGTTACTCGTAGCAAGATTCAATCTGGCTTAATTCACCTCCTTCCTATCAGTTCTGCTGCTCAACTTGCTGATTCTTTTACAAAGCCACTCTCTTCTACCCCTTTTCATCATGCTATGTCCAAGCTGGGGATGAATGATCTCCATCGCCCAGCTTGTGGGGGGGTATTGGAGGATGAAGAGAGAACTGCCACGTCAGCTGCAGTTAGTTAGAAACATGCAGTCAGTTAAGAATACTGTTATTTCTGCCATGTCAGCTGTATTCTGTTAAGTTGTATTCAATATTGTTATTTCTTGTCTTTTACACTTTTAGCTTCCATGTATAAATACTGTGATGTAGTTCTTTGAATGCAAAAAAAATAATATGAGACTTTTCATTTCCATTACAAAGCCTAAATTTATTTTTGTTAACAATTAGCTTGGAAAGCCTTACTTGTATAGATATATATACACTTAGATTTATCAAATTTATAATTAATTTTACTATAAAAATAATGGAGTAATTCTAAGAATAATAACCTATTAAGCTTCTAAACAAGTTATAAAACAAATGTTACCCATATGAATCATATGTCGGGCTCAGCAATGATATTCAAAATAGACTCTCACAATCAAATGGAGGAGTGAAATTAGAAGGTAAATCCTTTATGCAAAAACATGTAATTACGATCCGAATAAGTTGCAATGCAACTCAATGCATAATTAATAGAAACTATAATTTTTACCCAAAAAAAAAAAAAAAAATCGAAACTATAATTAGCGGAAGGATGGAAAGAAATGTGCCACATGGCAACATCTTATGAGATCAGTTGAGTCGGAAAATAGGTTTAAGTGCTATGCGTGTTACACATGCCACAATGACTCGCTGTCAACAACAACTGGTGTTGAATCTATTGGGACTCGCAACAAGTCCTGGACTCGCAACGGATCATTGTGATGTGACACATGTTAAACACGATCTGCTGCTGTTGACGGCAGGTCTTAAATGGTGACATTTTGAAAATTTATTTCTAAATCATGAGATTTCAAAAATTTAAATGTCAAAACGTGGTATTTTAATCTTTTGTCCCAAATTCCAACGCCTTAATTAGTTTATGTAAGAGAAACTGTTCCACTCTTTCAAACATTGTGTTTTTATAGTGAGTGGGTTTTGTAAAATTTTCATGCGACCACAGCCACGGGCCGTCCCATGTTCGAATGGACGCACCCCCATTCACCCACTACATAATACCCTAATTCCCAGGCCCATTTACCTTCCATAATGCTTCTCCATGCATAAAAGATGGATTAGAATTAGATCGCGAACCGGCATTCACAATAAGGGCATTGGGAACCAAGTCCTCCATATTCAATAACCAAAGTGTCAGGTTGATGGAAAATGAGGGCTATATTTTATTGTTCAATGAGAAACTCGAGCGCTTATTAGTATTATTACAATCAAGTGATCAACACATGAAGAAGATCATCGTGAAATGCAACAGTTTAATTAATAATTAATGCAAGAATTTCCCCAACAAGTACATTTATAACAGGAGGTTATGTTTTTATAACCTACTTTTATTTACAATCTCTTATAATTTTTTTTTATTATAATTAAATTAATCCTTCTTATTTGATATTATTTTTTAACCATTAATTTGATTTTGATCCAATAATATAAAAAATGATTGTTAGAAATTGTAAATAAAAATAAATTGTAAATATATCATCCCTATTTATAAACCAACATATATACGAGAAAAAATAATATA